GCTGAACCATAAAGAAGGCTGACCACCAAAGAATTGATGCTTTTGAATTGTGCTGCTGGAGGAAACTCTTGAGAGCCCCCTGGACTACAAGGAGAACAAACCTATCCATTCTAAAGGAAATCAACCTTGAGTGCTCCCTGGAAGGACAGATCCTGAAGCCGAGGCTCCAATACTTTGGCCATCTCATGAGAAGACAAAACTCCCTGGAAAAGACGCTGATGTTGGGAAACTGTGAAGGCAAGAGGAGAAGGGGACGACAAAGGACGAGATGGTTGGACAGTGTCACTGAAGCAACCAACATGAATCTGACCCAACTCCGGGAGGCAGTGGAAGATAGGAGGGCCTGGCATGCTCTGGTCCATGGGGTCACGAAGAGGTGGACACGACTTAACGACTAAACAACAACCAGCAGTAGGGAGAAAATGAGGACTATGAATACAGTACAGCTGTATAACAGCAGGCATTATCTTTTTCCCAGGAAACTCTCATTGCAACTGGGAGAGGCTCTCTGTCACCTCTACCAAGGAATGTAGCCATCTCCCTGGATTCTGTTAGGGAAGCACTTGCTACTGTTCAGCCTTCTTTTTCAAATGGACACAGGTCAGATAAAGATCAGAGGCAGAGACAAAAAAGTAAATAAAATCACTTACGTGATTCTGTCTTCTCTGTGACTTGCAGCACATTCTGATACCTCTTCATATTCCTGTCCTTCAGGGGAAGCAGCACCCTGGGAAAAGAACAACAGAATGTTTAGGAGATGGCGCACTGAGGGTTCTTCCTGATTTAAGAAACTAGAACACAAACATATGCTGATTAATCTGCTTTGCTAGGGTCCACCTAGCCTGGTTTTATATATAGAAAAAGAGATACTGGTCATTATGATGCTGTTTTTGTCGTATGCCAATTTCTTTTTTTTTTTGCAGCTCCTCAATTACCAAATGCTCCTTCCATACTAGTCTTATTCTTCTCACTTCCTTCCTTTTTTGGTCTTATAACTTATGCATTTTTGTGCTGTGTACATGTGTTAAGGCACTCAGCAGGCCTGCAGTCACCAGAGACTCCCCACTCCTGTGTGGGCCATGTGTCACATGACATTCACAAGCTCTTTATGTCTGTGGTGACTGTGTGTGTATGCTCACACACATTCATGCGAGGTGGTTGTGATAAGTCATGGTGCTGTCATGCCCCCTTTCCACCATGTCATCATAGTATGAGGGAAGCACATAGTGAACCAAGCATATCATGAGGCTAGAATCTGGCACTGGGGTCTCAAGTCATAGGTCCAAATTTGGCCATGGTTTTCACACTATTCTACGAACTCCCTAGTGGCACACGTTCAAAACAGAACACATATACCAGAATAAATAAGACGGAGTGCAATAACAAACCATATGACCCGAAATACACTGAAGTAATCCACCATCCTGCTTCTTGTTGATTAAAATGTGATGTGAAAAAATTGGAGTTCACAGTGGTTCATTGAACCATATAGCTGTACACTGTTTCCCAACCCCTCCACCTCAGAACACTTTGCAAGTCCAAAGTGTATTAATACCCTCCTGTATGGTTTTCCACTATATTTCTAGAAACAAACACCTCAACGTGTCTGAATCCTCAAATAATGACAAGAAGGTGTTGCCAATCCTCTGTTATTTCTCCCCAGGGCCATAATGTATAAGTATGTAGGCAGGCAGGCATGAATTCCTCCCTCCCTTCCTTCCTTTAGTGTGATGCAGTATTCTGAGCAGTTTATAGCAGGATAAAACACAATAGACATAAATTAGATAAAACAAGTAAATAATACTCAAACTGAAAACTCCAAGAGGCATAAATTACAGAATAAAATGCAGCACATCAGGCATATAACAAAGAAAGCAGCAAGAGAAACACACCCATCAGGACAGGGGTGCCAAGAAAGTCCTCTCTGTGTCTTAAGAAGTATTTTAAATGTTGGGAAGGAGGGCATCAGGTGCAGCTCCACCAGTAGTTGGTTTCAGAGTATTGGTGCCACAGCAAAGAAGGCTCTACTTTTGGTGGATGACTTCCTGGCCTCCCTCGGAGTGGCCACCTGGTGGATGACTTCTTGGCCTCCCTTGGAGTGGCCACTTGGAAGAACATTGCCTGGGAGGGCCTAGCATAGAGGGTTGATGACCTTCGGGAAAAGACGCTCTGACACGTAACATGGTCTCAAACCACGTTATTATAGGTGATCATCAAAACCCTGAATCTGACCCAGGATGCAACAGGTAACCAGTGTAAGTGAGCCAAGACTGAGGAAACATGTTCAAAGTTGCTCACACCAGCCACCAGTCTGGACCTGCTGTGATCTCTGGTTTGGACTCAGAGAGAACTCCCTGTAGAGAGCACTGCAGTAGTCAGTATGGGAGATGATCAGTGCCTGCACCAGAGTCCTGAGGGATTCCTCATCCAGGAAGGGATGGAGAGTTACAGTAGAGACATACATGGTAAAAACATTCACCTTTTTTTATTTTGAGTACCTCTTTCATTTTTACAGTTTTTGTGCAGTGGACATTTTTTTTTAACACAAAAGGGGTCACCTCTTTCAGATCATATTATTTAATTTCCCCCCATTTGTGTTTTTTGGAGCTAGTTCTAAAATATCCTAAAGATTGTAGCTGAATTTATTTTTTGCCTTCATTTTCTTGCTTTGAAATTCCCACTCCTCCCCTCTAGGACAGTCTAATTGGTTGCAGACACTATTGAACTAAAACTTTCCTGAGCCATTTGACGCCCAAGAAGTAAAAGAAAGGTTAAATGAAAGAGGTAACTATAGTAACTAATAAAATGTTCATATCCCTCTCTTTCACTAACATGAAACATTCACATTTAAGAAGTACTTTTTCAGGAATCAATAATATTAAAAAAGAAGAGCCCTCTTTTGTATTTTTTCTCTTTTGTTTAAACACAAAAGTCCCATACCTAATGTGTACAAAGACATGGTGAGAATTGCTGTTTTCCCCCCTCAGTCCTTTTCCTAATAATACCCAATGTCAGATTTCCTATAGTGACTGCCCCAGAAAGGGCCAGTCCCACCATTAGGCAGAAAAAGAAAACCAAGCTTATGTAACAGATTATGGTTATCATGAAAGGGTATACTGCCCCAAGACATTGTCATTTTCATCACAGTAATTACTGAAAATGATTCATAATTTAATTGAGTCCCCACCCCTCCCTAATTAATGCTTACAAGTCATTCTTTCCAAAGTTGAAGTGAATTTCTGGCCAATTCTGGTGTGGTTTTCCAGGATTATTTTGTGGTGGGGAGGTGCAAGCCTAGTGCATTTCCAGAGGAGGAAAATGGTCTCTACAGCCCCCTAAGTTTGCCTACTCCTATATTATATTTGTATTTATATAGAAACTCATAATGCGAGTTTGCTGGGTAACTCACAAAGCATGGGCACTTGGCTGCGCTGGTCAGAAAGCAAGCAAGCTCTATAAAGTCCAAGACACCCTTACCTGCTCCTGGGTAGACCAATAATTTCCAAACATGCTTTCGCAATAGGGGCTGATGGATTCCTCAACAGGGCCTGTGGATAAGGAAAAGTAAGTAGAAAAGCTGACAGAGGTGCACCCAATTGCAACAGGACAGGAGAAGAGCCCTCAATGAACACCTCTGCACTCAGAGAAGGGCCAAAACAAGAGAAGAGGTGGGAGAACATTAGACCCACACATCCACTTTTGTTTATGCCTGAAAGCAGTCCAAGGAACTCCGGCCTGATGAAAGGAGCGTACTTCTTTCCACTCAATCTTCATTATTTCCCCTTCCCCAATGGTTTTTTGCCTTGCTTTTGAGAAAAACACACCTTCTCGGCAAACTTGACTCAAGCTTTCAATTGGTGAAATGGCATGGGGGAGGGAAGTTCTTTCAGCTCTACTGCTCAAAACCCTCTCCCATAGCTCATTTTAAGTGAACATTCTGAACTCTGTGCTAAGTAGGGGGATCTGCAGAGGGCAAGGAGATGTGCTGGGGAATGTACATGAATCTTAGACAGTCAAGAACTCGCAAATTTGGAAGAGCACAGAACTCCATCTCAGCGTAACTTTCACACTGTCCCTTTGATTCCATATGCAACATTAGGTCCTGAGCATAAGACAATAACCTATTCTCCCACTGGAAGCAGGACACTAAGCCTTTCACCAGGGTCTGTGTCAACAATGTGAGGTGAGAGGCCCCAATCCCCTGCTCTTCCCTCTCCTTCACAAGAAGAATAATCCTCACTCTCACCTGATCTGCTGGCAGCTCTTGGGGGTGTTCGATCTAGATCCAGGCAGACCCGTCCCATGGAGCTGCAAGAATGGAGAAAATTTCCAAAAAGGGAGCATGTTACAGACATCTATTGAGCTTTGCCTACATTTTGGAAGCCACAGACCTTTATCCACATTGTTTCCTCCCTTCCCCTTCACACTAATTCCTGAACATGGAGCGGGACCTCATGTTCAGAAGTGCCACACATGCATTTTCCTTTCACACCAGCATTCCTTCTACAGTAGAATGGCCATGAGTTCTGCTTTCCAGGGAGCAATTCTCTACCTGAAACTTTGTCTTGTCTGGACCCAGCTTAAAGATAAAGGAGCCATGAGAAGGGAAACATAAAAAGCCTCCACCAGGTGTTACCACCTGGACAATGGGTTGAGCAGGCATACCGTGGTAGTTTTGCTTGCACTTCTTTTTTAATATTAGTAATTATTTATTTCCAACAAACTAGACTATGGAACACTTATCTTCGACAATGCAAGCCTATACTCTCAGAATGTGAAAAAGTCTTTGTTCCATCTCATGTAACCCCTAGACCAGGGATGAATATCACACATTCCCCCATGTATCTTTACCCATCTGCTACTGAGTCTACACGTTTCAATTTTATACAGAATGCGGCATTGGTCGCCCTGTACAATGACCTGTTCTAGACCACGGATGAATATCACACATTCCCCTATGTATCTTTACCCATCTGCTACTGAGTTTACACATTTCAATGTTATACAGATTGCTAATTTCCTATTCCTACTAGCAGCAAAAGGAAAATGATCTGTACATGTATTTTACTGTATTTCACTCCATATGTCTAAAGAAGTGGGTTTGTCCACCAAAGCTCACATTAATATATAACAGTTCATCTTTAAGGTGACACAAGGTTTTTAAATTTTTTATTTCCCTTCAGGTTTTGCCTGATATGCTTACACAGACTAACATAGCTAGCTCTTCTATAACTAAGCTTGAACATTATCTCTGACTGTAGTTACCAGATGATCCTCTTTTGTCCTGGTGTAACTGACCTAGCAGTTCGAAAGCATGTAAAAGGTGGGAAGGTAACGGCTTTCCATGTCTAGTTGCGCTGGCCACATGACCACGGAAACTGTCTTCAGACAAACGCTGGCTCTATGGCTTGGAAATGGGGATGAGCGCTGCACCCTAGAGTCAGACACGACTTGACTAAATGTCAAGGGGAACCTTTACCTTTATCTAACTGACCTCAGTCTATATTGTCTTCCTGAAAGAGGATAAGCTGTATGGTTAACAACAGCGGCTATACTCACTTGTCCATGTTCACAGTCCCGTTTTCCATAGTCAGCCCAGAAGGCAGGGTACCAGCCTGGCTCCTCACACTCTCCTTGACCTCCATGCTTTTAGGTGGTACTGGCAAAAGCATAGCTGATCTCACCTCTTTTCTGTCCTCTAGGGAAGCTGATTTGCTGAGCATGGGAGGAAGCAACAAAGGCTCTCCATGTATTTTGAAAGCATTTGAAATGGATTCTATTGGACTGGAGTCTGCAGGCTGGCTCTTATAGGCGAAACATGTAGGGGTGGAAGATGAAGAGGTTCCATCCACATTCTGGATGTCACAACTTAGTTCTTTCACAGGAGCAGAGGGCAGCAGAACAGATCCTGAGATATTCTTCCTTGTTCCGTGTTGAAGTGACAAGGTGGTGCTTGGGACTTCATCTCTTGGCCTAACTTTGGGCTCAGGGGTGACCTCAAGCTTCTCATTATCTGTGTTGCTTTCCCCTGGATCAAATCCCTCCAGGATAATAATGGTTTCTTGAGACTGTTCAGAGCAAGAAGTAGGTTTACAACCAGGTACAGATGTTTGTGGTGGTGACAATGATGCTTTATCTAGTTTGGTTGCTTGGGGTGCATGGGGAAATACAGTTCTGGGTTTGGGTACTGGCTTGGAAATTGGTTCCTTACTCAGTGGTGGTGGATGATTATTTTTTGAGTCACAGACAAATGCAGGGCCAGAAGGAGTTCGTACTATGACTTCTGTATTCTTTCCAACATCATTCTTCTCCTCAGTTTTGGTCCTATCCAGAGAATCTTCACATTTGCCAGACCTGTAATGGGCATCTCCTGCCATGTGCCCACTATTATCCCCCACAAGGATTTGGGTGCATTGCATTAAAGTCAGAATCCTTTTGCAGTGGCCAGTAGCAGTGATACCTATGGTTTTTAGATCCTCCTTACAAAGAGAGAGGACATCTCTGATGGAGCCATATCCATGCTGCTTGAAGGTACCCGCATATCTCTCCAAATGAATGGTGGCAAGCCAGTCTGCGATGTCAGAGTCCACATGGCACGGGTGGTGCATGTCCCCTTGGCAGGGAAGGAAGAAACTTTCTCAGTTTACCATCTATGGGAAACAAGACAATAGTCAAAGGCTTGGCACAGAAAGATAGCAGCAGCATCTGTAGAAAAACTGGGGAACTGGGAGCACTGGAGAAATTTTGGGCACTTTGGTCCGCCTCATACATTCTTGTACTTGTCTCCAATTAGAACAGATAAAAGAAACCAGTGATTTACAGTTCAAATAAGCTGCTCAAATGGTCCTTCCGCTAGTGTAGTTCCCTTGACTAGCACCCTGTTTTATGTTAGAAGCTGCACTGATCTAACACAGCAACTGTCACTGCCCAGGACAAGATGGCGGACAGTGTCTTCAGTCACCCAAAGATAACCCCTGTACCAGGTCTTGATGCAAATATTAGACCCATCTGTGATCTTTGTTGGACAGAGAAGTCATTTCCGATTCTTTGTGTTTCTCTGTGGGAGTAAAAGAAAGGTATTCAGAATCCGCCTTCCCTTTGGGAAAAAAGAGGCAGACCAACCAACAGCACAGAAACTAGTCTGTAGTTAGAGTGGAGATTCTCCCAAGGGAAGAAACTGCGGTAGTGAGCATAATGGGCAGGGGTTTGTGACCTGAAAGGCACTGCCCCAGTCTGCTTTACTACACTGTTGTTGCTCGAGGGCATGAGAGAGGTCAGAGAACTATGAGTTACACACAGCAAGAACCCCTCCAAACACAGACACCCCAGCCAACAACATGGAATCCAAGCTGCTGGGCAGGCTCCAGAATCAGGGTGGAAGAGGCCCCCTGGATGCCACAGCTTGACCAATACACAGTGCATGCGCATGCACACATACTCACAAAGACAGACAGACACACAGAGTTTTCTGCTCGGAGCCACTTCCTCTCAATTTTTTTTTTTAACTTTCTACTGCTAGACAGGGGCCATGAGCTCTCACTTGCATACATTTGTCTTTCAGATTAAATTTAAATATGAAGCTGGCAAGTCCCCTCTTTGGGCAGTCTCAGTTCCTGACAAAAACAAAGAAACATTCTTGCAAAAAGAAAGCAAAATCACTGATTTCTCATTGGCTTGTCTTTGATTCCTAAGCCTTGGCTGTTTTAAAATCTTTCTCTAGGATTAACCCTGCCTGTTTCATAGTGCTTTTGTAAAGGATGTGATATAGAAGCTTTGCCATGGCTTATGGAAGAAAGAGGTGTCTCACATCCTCACAAGATGCCCCGATAGCCAAACTAGGTGCCCAATTGTCACCTGCATATATCTTCAAGAAAAGTAACAGTTGTTTTTCTCCAGGAGGGAGGCTTCAGGAAAAGTGGGTGGGATGCAAAGGTGAAATTGCACAAGGAAAGGAAAGAATGTCCCCCTGTCCAAATCACACACATCACCAACGAACTACTCATGATCTGAGAAGCTGAGGTGGCTATGTCCCCAATTTTGGGGAGTCAAACCACTGGCCATCTATGCACATGTGATTACCAAAGAGTTGCAAATGCATTCTTAATTTCTTGCTCTGTCATTTACCACACTTCTATCCCACCCCTTTTCAGTCAAGTGATCCAGGCAGTATCTCCCAGTATGTATTCTCAAATATTTTCACAACAACCATCTCCCAGTGTGATTTTTTGAACCTTACAAATAGAAGAATGGCTTAGCACCTGTGTGAGTTTGTGTGTATGTGTACACATGAATGTGCAATTTGAAGTAGATACATAGTGGCAAAGAAAAGGGTTAAAATTGTTCCTTCCTTCCACTCCAAATCCTTCTTGCAGTCTTTCAGGACATGTGTGCAGAGCCTGGGTGTGTTCTGACATGATGAAGATGTCTCAAAATAGAATGGAAGGTAAGTTAGCAAAGGACTGAGGTATTCACTGCCATTAAACATTCTAACTACCTTCCAATATCAGATGCTGAGAAGAAACAACACAGGGTGCCCCTTCTCCTCATATGTGCTTGCCCCATCTATATGTTTCCCTGAGGTATGGGGAACAAACCACTGAATTAAATGGACTGTTCTTTAACCACTAGGCAAGGTAATTCCCATGTTGTAAAACAAAAGTACGTTGGTCTTCCAGTTTTAAAGGCATAGAGAACTCTGGCCAGTCTTCCCATTCCCTCTCTCAGACATGTGGGAAAATGTGTCTCATAGACTGTGACCTTATCTCTTGGCTGTGTCCCAACCACCTTTTTTTCCATGGGTTTAAACAATGCTTTAGCACTCAAATTTCTCACCAATATGGTGTGATAATGATTACAATACTAATAATTTTATAGCATTTCTGTATGTTCACATAATCTCACTTCTCTCTAAAATGTGGAATTTACAAGGAATGTCATGATGATTATTTCCATGTTGCAGATTCAAAGGCTAAGGTAGGGTGGATTCTTCAAAGCTACTCAGTGAAATGTGGTGAAGACAAGAACTGGAGCAGAGGTTTTCTTTCAGGAATTGTCTCTTAGCAACAACTCTACAACAGCTCCACATTCGCCTTTGTTTGTGCCAACCCCACCCCCACTCCATTAGTAAAACTCTTAAGCTTTTGTCAATACAGCTTCTGGAGTACCTACATAACTGGATAGCACTGTAATATTAACAACGCTTACCCTTTCTTATTGTCCTCTTCACTCATGTTGGGGTTCAGCTGCCGGCACTGCTGTAAGATAGCCGTGGAAGTCTTGTTTCTACAAAAATTCAGGGTGGTGTTTTCCCATGAATCAAGCTGCTGCACACTATACCATATGTGCTTGCTTGGCTGTTGCTCTCTCTCTCTCTCTTTTTCCAGTTCTCATTTCCTCCCATTGTTCAGTGCAGGCTTCCTTCCTGTTGCTCTCTCCCACCCTACAAATAGGAATTATTCAACACTGCAGTATGAAAGTATATGCACAGTTGTGTTGGTGGTAGTGTGTAGGTGGAGGTGGGTGACCTGGGCCCTTCTCCAGCTGATGCACTGACCCTCTCCCCCAGTTGAGCTGAATGGGGGCTTATGGGCATGCAAAGGACTGGAGCAGGAGTGCACCGAAAGCAGAACAGCAAATAAGAGGCGACTGGGCCTTTTTGTAGGCATGACTGAGGGAAAGCCTAGAAGCAGCAGAATCCATTACATAGCTACATTTTACAGTTCTACTGCATTGACCTTACAGCTTGGTAACATGGGTGGGAAAGGGTCTGAAGCTATTTGTTCCAGATCCCTTCAACACACCATCCCCCAATTCAGTTTCTTTCTGTACCACTGTTTCTGCTCTGACCATTCCACATTGCTGACCAGAATGCTTGGTACTGTATTTTGTTTAACGTTTTCATAAGAAATGGAAATGATGTATTAGAGTTTAATCTCAGTGTGTACTTGTGACATATTGGGACATCTCCCCATCCAAGACAAGGTAAACACTTTAGATGGTTGTGTGTGAAAGAGAACATATACTAATTTGAGGCTTAATTATTGTTTGAGTCAGTGGAATGTATTTACTCTGGTAAAGAAGTTTTTAAATGAATTATTATTTTTTGCTTCTTTGGACAAATAAAGGTAAAGGTAAAGGATCCCCTTGACAATTTTTGTCCAGTCGTGTTCGACTCTAGGGGGCGGTGCTCATCCCCGTTTCCAAGCCATAGAGCCAGCATTTTGTCCGATGACAATCTTACGTGGTCACATGGCCAGTGCAACTTACACACGGAACGCTGTTACCTTCCCACCGAGGGGATCCCTATTTATCTACTTGCATCTGCATGCTTTCGAACCGCTAGGTTGGCGGGAGCTGGGACAAAGCAACGGGAGCTCACTCCGTCGCGTGGATTCGATCTTACGACTGCTTGGTCTTCTGACCCTGCAGCACAGGCTTATGCGGTTTAGCCCACAGCGCCACCACGTCCCTTGGTCAAATAAACTAGGTATAAAAATGTATCTGTGGGAGGCTGGAATGGAGGAGGCTGCCTAATAGCGAGGTCTATAGTTCAGCTATAAGGGAATCTAAATGAGTTCCGATCAAGCAAAATCTTTCCTTGTATCTGGACAGAAGTCCAGTTAAGATTGGCAAGGCAGGATGAGTACTAGCCCAACCGCACAGCCCCAGTTACAGAGTTTGTAGCAAGCAGAGAAGGAACATGGAAGGGCTTAAGAAGGAATTATGTGGCAGAGCAGATAGCCTGCTTTGGTCACAGATAAAGATGCCCAAGCATTTAAGGTACAGATTGCAAGTAGTAAGTGACTGACTGAGCGAATGTCACTTAGGAGTTCCAGCCAAGCCACCACTGGAGATCTGTGTCAGCTACCACAGTGAAAGGTACTGGGGTTTTGTGAGGCCAAGCCTTAAGAACCCGTCTTGGTGGAGAAAGCCCACAATAGGGCACCTTTAGCAGACCTAGGAGAGAGACTCTCAGAAAGCAAAGAGCTCTACCAGAAGGGGTTTGGAATTTGGATGAGGGGAAAGGCACAATCTGATGCCCATGACCTTATACCCATGTAAGGAACAAAAGGCCCACTTGACATTCAGCTTTATTACAGGCAAGGAAAAGCAGAATGTGAGAATGCTAACATGTAGTCTGTGCATGCAGTAATTCTTGCATGTGGTCCCCAGCTTTGCTTCCACCTGCACTGGCTCTTGTAAGGGTCAGCAGCATGATCTGCAACATCACTCTGGCTCCAGGCTCCATGAAACATATGGATGGCTCAACAAGGCTAGTCACGAGTGGGAGTGGGGTCACTAAAGGCAGTTCCGTGCTCGTCTGCCAGACATATTTCAAATTTCCCGCTTTGCTCTGTTCTTTTCCCTGCCTTAATCATGCTCTCCTTTGAGTCAGTTTCCACACCGGCACCTTCTGGCTTTCTTACTCCCTCTTCCCTCTCTCCCTCTTGGGACAGCACACTCTCTCTTGGACTTCCTTCACATGCCCCCCCCGACGAGTGGGCTGTCTCTTCGTCAGCTGGGGCTTCTTCCCACTTCCCCTGCCAAGAAAAATAGTCTGCATTAGCATGTGCAGGTCCCTTTTTGCAGTTTACATCAAAGGCATAAGGCTCTAGGCCAGGGGTGTCCAACCTTTCACCTTCCCTGGGCCACATTAGAAGATGAAAATTTGGTTTGGGCCACACATAAATTTGGTTTGGGCTGCATGGGGGGGCAGCCCTAGCCATCCTCCACAGCCCCGTATTTTACATCAAAGGCATAAGGCTCTAGGCTCAAATACCATCTAGTAAGTCGAGGACTGCAGTCTTTCATTCTGTTCAACCACTGAAGGGGAGCGTGGCCAGTAACTAATGTGAACGGAGCTCCTAACAGGTAATATCGTAGGGTCTGAATTGTCCATTTGACAGCTAAAGCTTCTTTTTCTGTGGTGGAATACTTCTGCTCTCTAGGTGATAACTTTTTGTTTAAATACATCATGGGATATTCTTTACCCTCCCATTCCTGTACCAACACAGCCCCTAGCCCCTGATCTGATGCGTCTGCTTGCATTGTGAAGGGCTTTTCATAATCAGGGGCATATCTGCTCGGCAACTCACTTAGCACTGCTTTCAGTCTTTCAAACGCACGTTGTTCTAAGGGGTCCCATTGCACCAACCTGGGAGCTCATTTTTTTGTCAAGTCCATTAAAGGGGCTGCAATTTCTGCAAAATTAGGTACAAACTGTCTATAGTAGCCAGCTAAGCCTAAAAATTGTTGCACTTCCCTTTTATTTGGGGGCACCTTCCAATCTGTAATTCTCTCTGTTTTCTCCAGTACAGGCTGGATTTTTCCATGATCTATTTGGTACCCCAAGAAGGTTGCCCCCTTTCGAGCAATTTTATACTTTTTAGGGTTCACCCTGAGACCTGCTTGCCTCAGCTCCTTCCATACGGTCTCTAGATGACCCAAAAGTTCTTCTCAATTCTTACTATATATTAAGATGTCATCAATATAAGCTCCGGCGAATTGCTGTACCGGTTCCAGAACCTTATCTATTAATCTTTGAAATGTCACTGCTGCCCCATGCAACCCGAATGGCATGCAGGAGAAATGGAACAATCCCTTTGGGGTCACAAAAGCCGTCTTCTCCTTATCATCCTCTTTAAGGGGGTATCTGCCAATATCCATAAGGTCCAGTAATAACAGAAATTTAGCCTGGCTCAACCTTTCTAACAAATGACCTCTACGTTCGGCATAGGATAAGCATCAAATTTGGACACTTGATTCAATTATCGAAAGTCTATACACAACCTGACCCTTCCATCTTCCTTAGGCACCACTACAGGATAACTCCTCCATGGACTCCTTGAAGGCTCTATTACCCCCATTTCTAACATTTCCTCTACTTCCCTATTGATAGTTTCTTTTAAGTGATACGGCCAACTCCTTCCTCCTGATCTGGCCACTATGTTAGGTTTAGTATTTATCTGATGTTCAATTAAGGTGGCATAACCTGGTTTATCTGAAAACACGTCCTGATACCTGGCTTCTGCCAGGTCAGAACCGTTTCTATTTTCTTTGGGTCCATATGGATCCCTTGGGGTGATACAATGTGGCCTAGGAACTCGACTTCCTGCAGGTTGAAGTCACACTTCTCCAGCTTGGCACAGAATTGGTGATCTCGTAGTCATTGTAAGACCTGACAAACGTGTTCTGTGTGCCGAGTGGGGTCTCGGGAGTAAATCAAAATGTCATCCAAATAGATGATCACAAAGCGATCAAGCTTGTGACATTCATGAACCACTGGAATACAGCCAGAGCATTGGTCAGGCCAAAAGGCATGACCAGGTATTCATGCTGACCATAACGAGTCCCGAAAGCCGTCTACCACTCGTCACCTGCACGGATTCTCACTAAATTGTAGGCGCCATGGAGGTCCAACTTGGTATAGATACGTGCCCCCTTAAGGCAATCCAGGAGTTCACCGATCAATAGCAGGGGGTAGCGGTCCTGAATGGATATTTTATTCAAGGCCCGGTAATCTTTTATTCAAGGCCTGATATTTTATTCAAGGCCCGGTAATCTTTGCAGAGGTGGAGATCTCCACCCCTTTTTTTGATAATGGATGCAGACAGGGGTGACATGGATGGCCGGATGAATCCCCGTTTCAGGTTTTTATCAAGAAAGCCCTGCAAGGCTGCTAGTTCTGGTTAAGACATAGGGTAGATCTGCACTACAGGAAGGGGTGACCCAGGCACCAAATTGATGGTACAATCATAGGGTCAATGCGGGGGTAGCTGATTGGCCCCCTTTTCCTCAAAAACATCAGCAAAGTCCCTGTATTCTGGAGGCATCATGGGACTGTCTGTTGATCCTGTTGCAGCCAAGGTGGCCAGTGGAACCAGATGCGGACACGGATCCCTGAAGCGCAACTCCTCTTGTGCCCAGTCTACTAGGGGGTTATTTATTTATTTTATTTATATCCCGCCTATCTGGTCGGAGCCAGGAAAGTCCCAGAATGAGCGGAAAACAGGGCATTCGTGCAATGTTGAATTGTAGTTGCTCCTGATGGTGTTGGATCTGGAGAATAACCAGATAGGTTTCCTGGGTCACTGGGCCAGAGCGGAGGAGATGCCTGTCTATGGACTCAACTAGGGCTGGGGTCTCTTTGTCCTGTACAGGGATCCGGTGTTGTTTCACGAAGGCCGTGTCAATGAAACTGCGGTCGGTCCCGGAATTGACCATGGCATAACCAAACAGCCAGCACCCATCTGGTAAGCAAAGTTTCACTGGCACAAGGAATGGACCCGGGACATTAACATGGACCCAGCTAAGTGCCCCATGTCTGACATGGGTCAAATCTTTTACT